TAGTCCTTTAAACTTTACAAGGTACTGTCAGATAATCCTCAGGGCCCTCCAAGGAGGTGGGCAAAACTAGCCTCATCTACAGATAAGAAAATTGAGCTCAGACTGGTGAGAGGAATTCCCCAAGATCACTAAGAATTTAATTATAATAGTCAAAATCGCACTTGAACCCAAAAATATTCCTAGCTCTAAGTCTCACTCTCTTTTCATCTTGATGCAGGTTCCTCTTAAAATACTAGGCCAGGACAACCACACTAAGACCATAACAAGAGAAAGACAGAAACTAAAAACTGGTAAGAATTCACCTATAACTCAGGATTGCTCAGATTTTTTCTAAAGTGAAAGCAGATATTCTAGCAATATTTTTAACACAGATTATAAGCCAACTCAAAGTTACATAGTTCTTTCATACCATGTTTGCTGCTACCAACTTAATACACTCATGTATTTCCCCCTTTCTATAAAATACCATGGGAAGGATTCCACACTGCAAAAGCATTGGAAGAAAAAAGCAAGGCTCTCACCCGCTGTGGCCGCTCTGCAATGGTGAAGTTCACATAACTGAGCGGCTCGCTGGCAGAGTCCGGGCTCGTCAGCGCATACATGGAGAATCGGGGCAGCTGTCTTGTCAATTCAAATACATGAAACTGGGTGCTGCGGCCAACCAGTGGAACACAAGAGAATTGTTTTGTATAGAATGTTATTTCAAAGTGCAAGGCCCAGAAAATAAAGTCACTACCTGGGTCATCAATTGATATTTAACGTTTTCACTGAAGAAAAAAAACCCCAAAACACTTGTGGGTTAAAATACTACAGTAATGTATTGGGTTTGGAGTTTAGAGATAACACGAGTCTACATATACATGTGCACACACTAAGGGTTTAAAAAACCTAAAATAAATGTGAAAAGGCTTTTCTCATCCACTCACAAAGCAGTTTTTCTTCACCAGTTGAGGCTTTATTTCTACACACACACACACACACACACACACACACACACACACACACACACACATCTCCCTAATATAAAGATGCATCCTAACCCTTGTAGTCTTAGTAGCCAAAACTACAAGTTGACAAATTATCAATTAAACATATTTTTTAAACTTTTGTGATGAGATAATCTGACTAAAAATAAAAAATAATCATCTTAAACTTATATACCCTTTTTTCTTATCTCTATTTTTACACATTTCAAATTAGGGAAATAAAAGGTTATGTGAAATCTTGACTGGGTGGACAGAACCAATTAAATGGCTTCTTAGGGCCCACAAAATCCATGACATATAGAAAATCTAAACATCTTGCCCTTGTCTAAGTGCTGTCTCAAAAGAACTGTGATTTGCAAAGGGTCACCTGCTTCTGTAACCCACGAACATTTTCAAGTGCAGATCCACAGGGACATCTTTGGGAGGTGTCATTGGGATGCGGATGGAGCTGGAGAGGCTGTGAGTGCTGGGATGTACCACATGGCTTTCACCTACAAAAATTCCCTCTGCAAAGATCAGCACTGCCCGGATGATGGTGTCTGCAGGAAGAGGAAGAACAGTTCAAGAACCACTCCAAGATGGCACAGGTGGTAAGCTGTCAATAATTGCTTACCATTAGAAGTGGAAATGCACAGTTCTGCGTGAGCAGCTTGAGTCTCGTTGCCCAGATTGACTGAGAAGGCGGCGTGGAGCATGGTGTTGGCTGGGATGATGCCCCGTTGCCCATCAGTCTCATTCAGTGGACCACTCAATTCAGCCTGCAAAATACCCACTGGCTTCCAACTGGGTCACCAAAACAGCGAACTAATGGCAATTTTAAATAATACGGATATTCAGCTTCAAAAGGCAGGGTATTCATCATCTTATTTTATTAATCTGATTCTTTAGAATTTAGAGAACTCACCTCATCAGTGCTCCCTTGCTCTGTCTGGCCTGTGGGAAAATACCCTTGTCCCTTTCTATGGTTATGGTCCACTGTACCCCATCATGCCTCGTACTTTTTTTTTGTATTGTTCTTTTAAAGTCACAAAGAAAATTGACTTGGTACAGCAAATTCAAATATAGTAATGCATGACAGGACAAATTAAAGTCCCACTCCCCAGCTCATCCTTTAGCCAGTCTGGTATACACACACATATACACAACTACAGTTTTGTGTTTGTCCATTTTTGTATTAATTGTTTTTGAGAAAGATAAAAGATACTCCATACATATTGTTCTTGCTTTGTGCCACTTAATAATACCATAGGTGTCCTTCCCTAGCAGTCCAAGGATATATATACTTCACTCTTCTGAGCTGTTTAATACTCCCCAGCACATACTCCCTGCTAGTGATGAACATTTACATTGCTTCCAGCTGTTCACAGCTACAAATAGTGCTGCAATAAATGTCTTCGGACACTCATGCAAACGTTTCTATAGCTTAGTTACCTGGAAGTGGAATTCCAAGATCAAAGGATACATGCCCTCTCAATGCTCACAATGGCAAACAGGCTGAAGCGAAAGGGCCCATACCCTGGCCAACACTGACACTCTCATTCTTCTTCCACATTTGCTAATCCTCCCAATCAGTCATAACTTTTCAGACTCCACTTCCCATTAGGACCTACCTTGGCGTTTTCCTCATAGTTACGGAGCTCTATCAACAGATTCTGCTTTTTCTGACTCAGCTCTCGGATCAGGTCCTGCTCTACGCTGGTGTCCATGAGGTTCCCCCTCATCTCAGCTGGGCCTGGCAGGTAGCCCCGGACTGAAAAGAAGGAAAAAACCCTCACGAAACTGAGGAATAGCCCAAGTATAGCCAGGTCTACTTTTAGGTCATCAACTACCTATTCTTAAAAGCAAAAACCTAAGTTCTCATCTCCCCAACTTAGA